ACACACAAAATATATCATATATATTTAGAACAATCGACATAATTGATCTATAATGCGTAATTTAATTCATTTTGTGCATATCTCTCTCTCTCTCTCTCTTCTAATATTTTAACATGTTACTTGATCTTTTATCTTTTAATAGAAAATTTAAAGTAATTTATGATATATCATAAAATTATTATAAAATTAGTCGAATATATTATTTTCAAATGTATTAGAGAATTTTATTATTGTTAACCCTTAAATAAGTAGATGGGGGGAGTACTTACAATTATAGAACACTCCAAACAAATACGTTTGTGTAGGATTTGTTATTGTTAACTTTCTTACAAATTTTATCTTTATATTTATTAATGTAGGTACATTTTTTAATAATATACATAGAGTTAAAATTTTACATTATTTATATCCTTGAAAGAGGAACATAAATATAATGAACTTTAAGACTTTTGGGCACTACTTTTTATTTTTCTTTTCCAGAGCAAAATTTTTAAGATAACTATGCATGAGGTGCAATGACCATCTACTTATTTAAGCCTGTAACGACATATTTAATGCAAATATAAAAATAATTGCACGACACAGCTAGCAAATGTTTTGCTAACGATTATAAACTTAAGTGAATGCTGATTTATCAATGTTACAAGATAGTATTCAATGTAAATGATACAAACATGAACCTTCCATTCATTTATCTCGCGAAATAATTTTGAGACACATTCACTGCAATACACAATCTCAATTAATGAAACTGTTCGCAACAGAAGTTAATTAAGAGAACTTCGTTCAAGAAGTGCACGATTCCGCGAATTCGTTCTTGTAGTTTTGCAGAAGGTAAGCAGTGTAAGATTAATCAAAGTAGTATGTACGTTGTGTATGTGTAATAGTACGATGTGTCTTACTAAATTCTGTACAAGACCTCGAAACTTTGTGGAAGACCAATAAATAAAAGATTGATGTTACTGTTGTCGAGAAGAAACGACAGCTAAAAAAGACCTTAACTTTATTATATACAATGTTTTATATGAGAATACTAAATCATATCATAATGTAATCACTTAAAGATAGATTGTCTTGTAGAAAATATAAAAAGCTAATAAACTTTTCATAGCCAAACTTCTATTTTCAACTAGCTCTCTATTTCCATTTAATCTATTTAGATTTATTAATAAATAACTATTTCCACACTCTTCGCGATAGTTGCTAAATCAAAGGCTGCCAAAACTAAATTAGATTGCTTTTCAGGAAAGTATGACTTTAAATTTACAAAAAAAAATAATTTTTTGACATCAATATTTAATAAAATAGTGCATCAAATTTTGATATAACAATTACAAATAGCTGACATGTTGACATTTTCACCTAAAAAAGTAATTTTAAACAATCTCTTATACGGCATATGTATTTTATGCATTTTTATTTATTTTAAAAATAAATAAATGTAATCGGATTACATGGAATGTTGCGAAAATGGAGCCTACTGGCTTTACATACATGTTATTTCTGTTTAACCAAAAGTTAAGCTATATTACAAAAACGCTTCATAATGGAAAATGATGCAAATGTAGGTTTAATAACGTCACTATTAATAAGATTAAAAACACCACTCATAAAAGTCAGAAAAAATATATTGTAACTTATGGAATTTATGATATAATTACATATAAATATATATAGCGATGTATCGCTATTTTAGCTAGATATTTAACTAATCCTTCAGAAATTACGTGTAAAATTTTACTGCAAAATTGTTAATACCTTTCAATTGCAAATATTACATGTGTACACAATGTATACATATGTAACTCTATATGTATATACAGCTACATATAAAACAAATTTTAAACACAAAATTAAAAACAAATATTTTTAATTAAAATTAAAAGCAAATACCTTTAAAAAAGTACTTAATAAAAATTGATATTACTGTATAAAAATTTTATATTCAAGTCCTATATTGCTGAAAGCATATTAATTTTCAACAGATGTCTGAATCACTCCGGCAATTAAAATCGTAAAAACATAGTTCTTGTTTTATTATTTTTGCTTAAAAGTAAAGACTATTTTTCAAGTTCATAATCACATACACATAAATAGGCTCAAGCAATAAAAGCATTAAAATATGTATTGTTTATAAAAATTTATGTGCCTATTAAAAATATAAAATTTAATTCTATACTCCTTTACTTATTATATTTTCTTCATTTTTAATGTCTTAATAACATTGAATCAAAATTTTACAAAATCTATCTAAAATTAATTCTAAAAAGTATACATATATATACATATATATAATATATACATAATATTTTATCTATTAGTCTAATCCATGTATAATTCAATCGCTTTCAACACGATCAATTTGAATCTAATTATTTTCAATCAAAATTTTAATATTTTCTTCAAAAAAAAAAAAGAAAAATTGCAGATTGTCAAAGCATATGTAGCCAAAAGGAATAACGACATAGTTTTGAAAATCTCACACTCATATGCACAAAATAATATAAACTTTCCACTTTGTACAGTCACAATTACAATTTATACCAACTATTATCTAAACTATTTCTCATCAACCTCATATGCACATTGTAAAACTTTAATGAAACATGTTGAATATCAGATATTATTCTCAAAATTTATGATTTAATAATAACTATCATAAAAATCACATTCTAACTTTTTCAACCACGCTTAATTTTAAAAGACTTTAAAAGTATTTAATTTGACATTTAACTATTGAAACGTTATTGCAGCATATATGAAAATTAAGCTGATAGATCATCGAAATTTTTTTGAAGTTCAACCACAAATTCTTTTCTTACTGAAAAGAAAAAATTTATTGAGCTCTTAACAAAATATGAATCGCCTATATATTTTACTATATATCTCCATTAGACTACCGAAGCTTTAATTACAGTTTTTCAGCATATTAACATCTTTATAATATAATGCCTGATTGAGCATCAAAATTATTAAAATTACTTGTCAATTTAATTCGCAAGTTTACTACAATAGTTTAATTGCGTTTATACAGTCCGGAAAAGAATTCGGCGCGCAGTTCAAAAGACTACAAATATGGTATATATGCAAGTACATATAGTATATTTAGTAATTCAAGATTGAATTATTTAAGCATTAAAGATCCAGCTTCGACCGTTATAGGCATTTTAATATTGATTGTATTCTCACATAAACGGTCTAAAATAATATTGTTATATATATATATATATATTTGATATTTGAAATTATAAATCATGATATTTTATGAAAATTTATGAATATATTCACAAGACAAGTAGAAAAAGATTCAGTAGTAGAAAAAGCTCCGCGACTGAAATTTGCATTTTTCGCACATTTATATTGCCTTGAAGATTATGCTTGTGAAAAGGCAGAAAATTCAAAGCGAAATGTGCAAATGCATAGTATAGCAATGTCTAACAGACGGCTTTGCGAATCCAACTATATAATGAGGCATAAACGCGTCGGACTTTACGCTCGACATTTCGCATTTGCAGTTATCAAGACATCGGAATTGGATCTAAGGTAACCAGATGTACGAACAAAAACGATAGAACGAAGGAGAGAATGAGCAATTTATCTTTCCAATTCGGTTGATCGAAATCAGAAGAGGATCTTTTTCTGATTACAAGAAGAGTGCCCTGATAGATTTAGCGCCAAGAAGTTCGCATACAGAACTATTGCTAAAGATTCTGTTCGCGGTCTTTGTTCTTGCTTTGATTCTACTACACTGATTGAGGATCACTCGAAACGCGCTTGCTGAGCGTCTCACAAATCCCATTGAAGGGGGAGAAGACTCATGCTCATTGTCTTTCTCTCTACAGGGACAAGAACAATCGTATGAAATTGTAAGAACGTCAGAACTTGATGAAGATGAAGAACACGTCATGGAACGCCGTGGTAATTTCTCCGGAAATGGCATACAATCCATCAAGAGCTCACAAAGCTATATTTAATTACATAAATATAGAATCGTTGCCATTTTTTTTTTATTTCAACCGATTATTAAAACATTTTCTTTTATCATTTGAAATGATAAATTAAATGATATGACAAACTCAGTGAAAGCTACACAGCGTTATACTTCGGAAAATGTACGATCTCATTAAGATGTTACGGAATAAGCTAATTATATACAGTTCTGCTACTGTTTAACAATTCATTATTAGATAACCCTTATTAAATCGTTTTTCTCTGATGAATTTCAATTGTAAGATTGAATTCTGTGAAAAATAAAAAAGCAAATGGTTTACAAAAATAAGACATCTATAATAACGTATCTATCCTAACATAAGAGCATATAGTAAAAATACGTTTTACGAATTAAATTGTAAAAGATATTTTTAAGATAATCATAAAATAAAAACATGCTCTATAATTAAATTAATCCCTAATTTAATAATAACAGCTTTTGTGCAATTATATATTTCAAAATATTTACTTATAATCTTTTATCAAAATTATTTTTCAGAATATATTGTATATCTACATGATTTATGCTGGTATTGTTAAAATGCATGCAAAATGTTCAGCTTAAATAAGCAACAGACATAATCCATAAAAGAGTAAATGTTTGCTTTTACAGAACACAAATGTGATAAATCTCACGCATTTCTACTATCTTTCTCATTACAAAATAATAAAAAGTAAATGCTAAATAAAGCATTAGAAATTCTTGCTTCCATCATCTTTAAAAGCCATTTTATGTTTATGGTTTAAATATCATCAAAATATGATAAGAGATTTAGAAACACGGCTATTACGGTATAAAAGACTACCTTGAGATCCAGCAACATATATCTACATTGGCAAGTATTCAACGAGAATATCGCCGTTCCTATTTTCTTCTATTTTCACACTTCTGAAAACAACGGCAATGTTACCGACTCTTGCTATGAGAATCCTCCGGGGTATTTACTTAACGTTCGATACTGAGATGCACCGTACTTATCACGTGGCACCAAAATGGAACGGTCAGGACAATGACAAAGGATACAGGTATTGCAAGTGAGGTCTTACTTGATGTGCACTCGCATTAAACTTACTTCTATTATTCGTATTCCTCTGTGGTTCTCGTTATACTGCAATAACAAGGGCTTTTTGTAAAGTAAACACTGATGTTGCGTCGAATCGTGTGTATAATGTGGAATGGCAAATACCAGGTTAGATTGTGTGGCATCGTAATCACAAAATTAAACGTAGCGTGAAAGAAAAGAGAAAAATAATTGCTCTAATCATAATTTTTATATATATTACATAATCCTAAAAATATTATTTTACATATTGTACTATTTTTATCATATTATTGTATTTAATGATCTCAATCCAATTTAATAAAAAAAACTATCATCATAGAATGATCCCAGATAGCACACGACATTAATAGAAACGTATATGAACATTCTAAAAATATTTGTATATTCTTAAAATGTTCTATGAACGTCTTTAGAAGTTTGGTGCTGTATGGGATATAATTAAAATATAATTTGTTAATACAATTAGATATATATTTGAAATTGTATTAAAAAATTATATATGTATATGCATGTAACATTTACTATCCAATTTTTAAGATATATAAAATTTCATGTAAAATTTCGCGCCAGTAATCTCATATTAAACATGGTACTTTGATGTCCACCATATCCAAAGTACGGTATCGTAAAAGTTCCCTATTATTTCCGACAATCGTAAAACGGTGCGTTAAACGTCGCGTAAAATGTGGATCTGAAGGAAACGGCGCACAATTCGCTGGAACTGTTCGTAGTTTGCGGTCGCGCATTGAAATACATTTTGGTTGGCCGCGACAGAAGGGCAATTTACGCAAACATCATCGTCGATCCGTAGACTGCCGAAAAAGATCGAAAAGCAACGTATTCGTATTCTTGTCGCGCAACACGACGGAAATCGTGACGCGAATAGATTTTTTCGCTTATTGAGACAAATGTTCGATTTTTCGAGTAGCGTTATATAGAACAACTGTTGTGTACCGTATACAAAGATCAAACGATTTTACATTGTACACAAGCGGCTTCAGCGTCGTTGCAAAAATTAGATTGCACATCTGTAGTACTATTGATTTGATACAGAACAAAGCTGATTTATTTTATAAACATAAAACGTAATGCACATGATGCAACAAAAGAAAGATTTTTCATACAATTTTTTTTAACTCTAGAACATATATATACCTATTTTTCTTTTAAATTAGATTACTGTAAAGATAAAAATAAGAGATGTTTTTTCTGTGCAAAATTTAAAAATAAATAAAGTAATTGATTTACTAAATCTTGTAATAATAAAAAAATATTATATATAGGTATGCAAACAAACATAAGAATTAAAGGATAAATATAAAAATGATAAAGTGTTCGATATATATCTAACTCGATAATATATTCTATAATTAACAAATAAAAGATTATTGTTGCTATTAAAAAGTTATTAATTCTAGAAATAACAATAAAATTAGATTATCCACTCAAAGTATTAAATGTTCACTGTGTGTATTAGGATAAATTTAATATATATTTACACGCTAGTTAAAATGTAAAAGCTCGAGTATGTATAGTACATATTAATTATTATCTAGTAAAAAATAAATATAGATCGCATATGAAACGTACAAATGCTCTTATGAAAAGCGTATTATTTCCAGCTAAAATCCGATTAAATATTATCAATACTCAGAGAAGAGAACTTTGTCATAATATAAAAGTATAATCTACTTCAAAATCAATTATTTCTTTTAACTTGTACGTCGTCAAGTAACGATGTTAAGTCAATTAAACGTTGATATTGAAAAGCGACAAATCGCATACGATACACATTTAATAAAAAAGTAAATCGTATTCGCTAAAATCACCGTCGGGACTCGGAGATCAAGATTTAACAAGTGTTGTAGATACTCATGACATTTTTTTAAATGTAACGTTCACGATAAAATATGTTATGTATTATTATAATGAACGTAGATTATAAAAATTTACGTATAATGTTATTATAAAATTTTACAGTAAAAAAACACTTAATTAAAATGTTGAACTCAATAAAATATAGCGAAATACCTAACGATTTATGATAACAATACTGTTATTTAACAGAACTATGCGATGTGTTTAAAATGTATGAATTTTTTATCATTCTTCCAGCGAAAGAATTCGAAATGGCATGTGGAGACTTCCATTCAATCTCGGAAGCGTATCGAGAATGTATTTATTGAAATGCATATATGAAGTGTTATAAAATACATCGTTTTTTTACGATATATTTTATTCTTATCGCGATCTCTCGTCGAAAAGTTCATATCCGGTTATTCATACAGGAAAATCAAAAGCTAACTTTTAATTGTTTTAAGCTCACGCCACGTGCCTGAATTATTCCAAGAAAAAAGAGGACAGGGATCCTATTAGAAGAAATTAAAGATTAAGAAATAATCTTTAATTCTTTCTAAAGAAATAATTCCTAAAATTAGAAAAAAATAAGGACAAAAAAGAAGGCAAAAAAGAATGAGAAAGTACCAAAATATATAAGGAAAAAAAATACATTTCTGCAAGCCTTCATGTATAAAATTGTAGAAAGTCCGGATAAACTTCGACACTCACATCTTTGAGCCTTTCGAAATTCAATGCGTATAGACGTTTGGATAAAATAAAAGAAATTCCCAAGAGATTCGGACTTTAACCTAATCCACTTTTGATTGTTTAGTAAGGGAAACTAGGACCGTTGTCCCAGTTTTTTATTAATGATTTTTTTTTTAATTGGATGCCTTTTGAAATATTATATACGTTATAAAATATGCCTTTAAGTATTTAAAAAAAATATTACTCTTGAATTCATCATCGTACAAATAAATTATTTAATTTTAAATGAAGCGTATTCTAGGTTGATTGTCACATGTTCTAGGATTGGCAGTAGCATATTCGTTATGGACAACATATAAAAAATACAATTTTTATTATTTTAATGTCAGTTCTATATTTTGGAAAATAATAGTAATTATAGTATACAAATAAAATAGTTATTTTAATCATAAAATATTTATTTTTGTACTATAATTTCTATATAAAAAATAAAGACATATATAACTATATCAAATATAATATATTTGTAAGTGTATTTCCTAAAGGTATATCGATCTAAAGATATTAAAATTGACTGATATATCACATATCTAACCCCTCTTATTTTGGTCAATCTACCTCTCATAACCATTTTTAGTAAAAGAGATCGTATTCACAAACTTTCTCAAGATAATTAATTGTAGCAAAAATTTTCTAAGATATGTCATTCTCTATGAATAGGAATATCGCGATTAATACAGTCAAAAAAAGAGATTTTTCTACCATGTACTGATTAAGTTATAAGCATTTAGACAATCAATTCTGTACAACAAGCCTCGGTCTCCCCTATAATATGGATATTTTCTAAGGAAATTAAAAAAAAATTTCTTAAGAATATTCATTGACTCTCTGACTTACATTAATTCACGACTCTATAATCTAAAGCTCTATAATCTAAATTTCAAAATAATTGGTTACTCGGTAAACGGCAGATCATTAGAAGAACGTTTTGATTTCCAGGTCGCTAAAGATTCTTTTAGAATTTTTCTCTTCTTTATCAACAAGAAACTTACATACTAAATTCCAGAAGCAAACTTCTCAAAAATTTATTCAAGAGTTCAAAGAGTTGATGGAAAAGTTCCCGAAGCAAAATCATTCTCTACAATTTTGAACTTCTACTAATCAAATTTGTTTCTTTCCTTGACAGGTGACGTGATAGACATTCTGACACTTATAAACTCGGCTATCAACTTCATCTTGTATTGCGCCATGAGTCGACAATTCCGCACAACCTTCAATCAATTGTTCTGCAAGCGATGGCGATTAATCGGCAGGTGGATGGCAGTGCCGCATCAACCGATGGAGAACAACGGGCATACCGGGACCAATCACACGGTGACCCAGGTCACTCAGGTCTAGCGTCGAAGAAATCGACGGACTTTTTGCTATCCGGTATAAAGAGCTCGCTGATTAGCTTCCTTTTAGAGACATGTATTGCAAGTCCACAAGAATAGAAAGAGGATATTTCCTCCGCGATTTTCCATCCTCCGACAAGTAAAGAGAGGTGAAATTTATTTGCTCGCTACTGCCATCGGTCTTAATTGCATCATCGTTGCGAACTTTACAACGCCCGAGGCGTCTTCGAACGCCGGCTTCACCATGCAGGACATGCGACATACCAGATGTGTAACAAATATTTTTTTAAGTTAGTTGGCAAGTCGTTATGTTTTTTAACACGTTTCTTTTCAATTTTGCATGTTACTTAGTTACATTACAACGCGTCCGACTGCCGTCGCGAATTGATGATACGCACAATTATACTTAAAATAAATATTGTGATAGGTATGCAAAATAGTTTATATATAAACTCTGTTAGAGTCTATCAGTAGTAATTTTATAATGCCATCAAACCTCCATATTTTAGATATGTTTATTTTAAAAATTATCAATTTTCCAGTAATAACAGTAATAGTAGATAGTTTTAAGCTTATTATGTGAATGGTGATAATTATTCAACAAACACAGTTTCTTATTCAGAGATTCATTATCAATTTTTATAACAAAGCGCGCAAAAATTAAAAAATTGTACATCATTCTCCTGCAACAAGACTCCTTCTTATTGTGATTCCATTACTTTCAAGTTTACATAAAACTATTATAGAATATAAAATTCTCTTAATCCGGATATTATATTCATGATATAAAAAAAAAAATATTTATTAAGCAGAGAATATTCTTTATATTATTTCCAATTTTTTTCTATTAATTCTGTTTTGCGCTTTAATATCTATTTATGTTGTGAAAATAATCCGTTTGTATTTTCGTTTATTGCATATTCTGATTAATTATATTAGAAACTTATATTGGTAATAATTATATTGATGTTATATACGCTAACAATATTCAATTTATTAGATTTTACATCATAATCAATATTCACAGTAATAAAAGAATTGAAAATATCATGTGCTATGCCAAATGAATTTTTAATAGCCTAATTGAAAAATAAGAAGTGCGCCTATTAAACTCAGTTTAAATTGTGCAAAATTTGCAAATAAAGATCATTATGATGCATCGCGCAAGTTGCAGTGCAGCACATAATTTTCTACAGGAAATAGAGAACATAACTAACTAACTTAACTATACGTCGTAAACAGTTAACCAAAGGCGTCATGCTTCTTCACAAATTTATCACAGTAGCGAAATGTTTAAATAGTTTAAATTCTCTAGTGTAAATTAGTTAGGTGCAACGTGATGGCATTTAAACATTTACCTATTTTGTGGAAATTTAAAAGATTTCTTTTTTCTGATAATACTTTTTAAACTTTCACGGGTATTATCTTCAAAGATACCAGAAGGTTTGCGGGTTGTCTCCGTATTTTTATTCATTGTTAATTTCTTTTTTTTTGTATAAGACACTTTTTTTAATTTTAATATTTGCGTAATATTGAAAACCATTCCATTTTTTATCTCGGCTTTTTTCCTTTATAATATATTTTTATTTCTTTGTAAAAATATGTTTTAATTATTGTAAAATGTTATTTCTCAAAATAATTTTTAATGAATTTCATACAAAAGTAATATTTATATACATATATTCTCTAATTTTAAAAAAAATTTTGCCGTTAAGTATTATTTATAAATGTCGCATATATACAAGTTAGAAAATATAGACACAAATTGATAAATATAAATAATAAATTAGATTTTCATGCAAATTAAAATAAAGGATTAAGAGCTCAAAAAGTACAATTAAATACGTTCTAATAACATATGGATTAACGTAAAAGTTGACATACTGTTTTTCCTCATTCACAAACCAGAATGACGACTTTATGATGGAATTATTCGAAAGCTGTACCGTGAAAACGAGCACAGTGATTAACATAATTAACAATGCAATATGAGATGTAGAATTTATGGTGCTCAAAGGACAGTCTGTTTTGTGATTCACATTTATGCAGTTGAATATTTAACAAATTTTCTTGATGTAACTTCTTTCTTTCGTTTAAGTTAAATGCAAATTACATTCACAATTTGCATTTTACCCTTAAAAAAAAACAAAAATATTTCACTCTGAAACACTATTTATACCTCTTTTTATGCGAAAAACTTTTTACAGGAGACCTCATTATAATTAAAATATTAATTTTCCAGTTACAATCGCGACACGGTACCATAACAATGCCATTTATTATTAATTATTACCTGTACCAGGAAGAGTAACATTATCGTAAATTGCATTTAGAATAAACAAATCTGTTACATACATCTTTAATATGCTTTTTGTTATTTGTTAATATGTATTTTCTAGAAACTCGATATATATTTCAAAGTATATTGCAATTTATCTTTATATTTAAATGTCAAAATGTTATATTTAACAAATATCTTATAAAGTTACCTTAATTTTTTTACTTTTTTATTCACGGCTTTAATAACGTTAAAAAACGCAATCACGGAAAATATCGCTCGTTTACATGTCCCTTTTTTGAAAGCACTCTTTTCTGTTTGAAAATGATTAATGCACATTTCGATTAAAAACTCTTGCCGGACAATAATAAACTATTTCGCAAAACGAAGCTTTCAGACCTCGACGCGTTATTAACATTCAAAATATAAACGTCCCGCGAACAAGGATATGAAAAAGAGTGACATCCGTTCCTGATTTCAGAAGCGCGCGACATACGCGCAATAATAATCGAATTGTCGCGTTTTCAATCTCGCGCTTGCGTTTATTGCACGTTCAACGTACTCGATACCCTTATCGATTGCGAGGGACCGCAAAAGGGAAACGGATTACGAAATAAAAATCCGTGAATTGCGTCACCGCAATAAATTACAGCTTCCTTAAATCACTCCGTCTGTCCGATAAAGCACTCTTAGACTAAATCGCAGCAATTATTGCGCGACACGGGAAATTGTCGCGATTAATCACCGCCTTCCATTTGTGGCAAAACTTTATCGACTTGTATAAAATCACTATGTAAGTCACGCAATCGCATAAAGTTTCCCCTGTTGAAGTTCAATTTTTGGTTGCGTTCACCCACAAGCGGGTTTAATACAAATTCGCGGTCACGAATTTTATTTTTGTGGACCCCTCGACAAAAAACATTCATTCTTTATAGTGCATTTATTTTCGACGAGCATTATCAAGATTCAAGAGATTGCTTACGCAATTATTCTATTCTTATACTTTTATTATTTTTTAATAATGCCTTATCACATATTCTATTATATTTTCTAATTTTTTAACACAATTCTATAATTTTTTAACACAACGTGAAAGAATATTCTCTATTCATAAAAGTACGTAAACTATGTAATTTATTTTTTAATTCGTACCAGCTTTTTTAATTTTTAAGAGGAAAAGAATTTATCTTTATAACATTAATAATCAAATATTTTTAATTAATACAGAACATCTAGATACTGAAGCTCAAACATTTAATACTTGTTTCTATTTTTAAAATTTATTGAATTGTTAACCTACTGCCATAAATCTGACAGAAATAGGAAAAAACATTTTTTTTAAGATTATGAAGAGATAGTTTTATACGAAAAATTATAATATAATAATATAAAACCCAAATTAAACAATGAATCAATAGTTTAGACTTCTAACAGGGAATTATGTACAATTTTTTAATTTTATTCACAAAATAATTTTTCATATAAAATACAAGCAATTTCTTTATTTCAGCGAAAATCTACTTGGACTAAGAAATGTATTACCATTCAGTAAAATGGAAGCAAATCTTCTTATGAGATAAGTAATGTCCTCGTTTAGTCGAAATGAATTATACGATAAGTATGATATCAAGCTAAACCCTCTTCATGTTGGCATTTGGCAATGGAACAGAAACATTATCCTATGCAATCTTGTCCTATTAGATAGCTTTTGGCGCTGCAAGTAATGTTTCCCTTTCGTGATAGAAATTCATTAGAAAAAAAGCAAATATGCTTGTCATACAAAAAGAGAAATCAATGCTGATATCGCCCTATGAATATGTTGCGTGTTGTTTGTAGCGGATAGCAAAATGTTCGTTGATTCCTTCGCGAAGGGAGTTGATAGAAAATAAAAATTAATACAATATCGCAGTTCGTCGATCGCGATACGTTAATTGATCTTCATACCTAAAATGTGTTGTAAATTATACGATACATTTTACATATTTGTTTAAAGAAACATGTTTCGTACTAAAAAAAAGTAACGTTAGCTTGGAAGCCAATTATTGAGATCAATTGGGAGATTCGTGTTTCTCGAAACCTTTTGACAACGTTAACAAAGGCAAACGTTCCCTGCCCACTTTGAAAGACCCCAATACTTCGTTTTGTGTACATAAATACAAAACGTGAAAATTCGAAGAAAATACGGGACAAAGTAAAATAAATAAGCGAAGATGACAAAGGACTGACATTGTGAAAAATATTCACGTGTGAGTCTTTCTATCTTAAGATAAAGCATGATAAAATATTTGTCAAATGTCTTGTCAAATTACCCAAGCTACCATCATAAATGTTATATAAACGCGAAAATTCCCTTTTACTCTATACTAACGTACATATGTAATTTTAATATTTTGTTTGATATAAGCCAATAAATCTTGTTAGTCTTTTATGAAGCATAATATCAATTTCGTCATTTTATTTCACTAATTATTTCATTGAATTGCGTTGTTATCTTTAATATTATGGTAATGGGACATGTATTTCGCTGTAAAATTAATGTAACTATAGGATATTTTTATTAGGTTATATAGGTAATAATTGTCTTTACCTGAAAATGCCAATTTCTATGTTACATCTAAAAATAACAATGTGGAAGTAATAAATAATTATTAATCCACTATTTATAAATTATATTTAAGATTAAAAATTTAAGCATTTTGAAAATGACGCGGCAGTAATTGGAAAGTAAGAATAAAGTCCATGTCAAATTACGCATTGGAGATTGAGGATTGCGAATTGGAAATTAGAATTCAACTAATTAGAACGAAACGGATTGAAATTAAACTTATCTAATTGAAATTCCATTGCCGAATTCTAATGCTTCAATCTCCAATATGTAGTCTGATACACACTTAACCGAAGATTAACATTTCGCCGAATATTCTTATACTTGTCCAACGACCATATAAAAAATAAATTGAAGAACTTATTAATTTTTAATATTC